TGCTCTGCCCGTTGGAAAGCCTAACGGCTTTGGGGGCGCGCTTCGCGCGCCGCTAGCGATTTTTTTTGCCTGGAACAAAAGATTAGCCTTCAGTTGGGACTCATCCATCCATTTAGAGTCACTTCGGGCCTTCGGTCCTCGTCTTCCCCTAATTTTCCCTCGATTGGACTCATCCTTCCACTTAGAGTCACTTCGGGCCTTCGGCCCTCGTCTTCCTCGCGATTGGACTCATCCTTTCAATTAGAATCACTTCGGGCCTTCGGCCCTCGCCTTCCCTTTTAGATGGGTGTCAGCTCGGGCCTTCGGCCCTCGCCCTCCCTTTTAGATGGGTGTCAGCTCGGGCCTTCGGCCCTCGCCCTCTCTTTTAGATGGGTGTCAGCTCGGGCCTTCGGCCCTCGCCCTACCTTTTAGATGGGTGTCAGCTCGGGCCTTCGGCCCTCGCCCTCCCTTTTAGATGGGTGTCAGCTCGGGCCTTCGGCCCTCGCCCTTCCTTTTAGATGTGTGTCAGTTCGGGCCTTCGGCCCTCGCCCTCCCTTTTAGATGGGTGTCAGCTCGGGCCTTCGGCCCTCGCCCTCTTTTTTATATAAGTGTCAGCTCGGGACTTCGGCCCTCGCCCTCTCTTTTAGATGGATGTCAGCTCGGGCCTTCGGCCCTCGACCACTCTTTTAGATGTGTGTCAGCTCGGGCCTTCGGCCCTCGCCTTCCCTTTTAGATGGGTGTCAGCTCGGGCCTTCGGCCCTCGCCCTCCCTTTTAGATGGGTGTCAGCTCGGGCCTTCGGCCTCGCCCTCTCTTTTAGATGGGTGTCAGCTCGGGCCTTCGGCCCTCGCCCTCTCTTTTAGATGGGTGTCAGCTCGGGCCTTCGGCCCTCGCCCTCTCTTTTAGATGGGTGTCAGCTCGGGCCTTCGGCCCTCGCCCTTTCACTTAGAGTCACTTCGGACTCATCCTTTCACTTAGAGTCACTTCGGACTCATCCTTCCATATAGACCCTTGTCTTTCTTTTATTCGGACTCATCCTTTCACTTAGAGTCACTTCGGACTCATCCTTCCACATAGACCCTTGTCTTTCTTTTATTCGGACTCATCCTTTCACTTAGAATCACTTCGGACTCATCCTTTCACTTAGAGTCACTTCGGACTCATCCTTCCATATAGACCCTTGTCTTCCTTTTATTCGGACTCATCCTTTCACTTAGAGTCACTTCGGACTCATCCTTCCACATAGACCCTTGTCTTTCTTTTATTCGGACTCATCCTTTCACTTAGAGTCACTTTGGACTCATCCTTCCACATAGACCCGTCTTTCCTTTATTCGGACTCATCCTTCCACTTAGAGTCACGTCGGGCCTTCGGCCCTCGTCTTCCTCTCGATTGGATTCACCCTTTCAATTAGAGTCACTTCGGGCCTTCGGCCCTCGGCTTCTCCTCGATTGGACTCATCCTTTCAAGAAAAACAAAATTTCGAAGCAGAAACTGCTTCACAAAGCATCTCTGCTTCGGATCCATAACAGGATCCAGCTTATCCCCCCATTAAATTTCCCCCAATATACAAAATTCACCCCTAAGTTCTTCTACGGTTTGCCCCCCATAGTCAGAGACGGAGAAAAATTTCTCCTCTCTTCCTTACATTTGACCTGTCAATCATTTTTCCTCTCTCCCTCCCATCATTCTCCGGGTACTGTACTCAGCCCCACAAATTTTCGAAGCTCTGTACATTCGTCAAAATGTACCGAAAAATTTTGAAAAAAATATTTTTATACCCAGCTCAATAAGAGCTTTCGAATGATATCTCATTTGCCATATCTTTTTTGATTTTTAAAATTAAAATTTTTTGGCCGGAAATTTCTGCCTGAAAAATTCACTAAAATTTTCAAAAAATCATATCTCACCTAAAGTATTCCTTTTTTAAAGATTTTAAAATCTTTTCAGGTGCAGAAAAATCTGCTTTATCCAGGAAAAATTACTTCGGTCCGAACCGCCGGCAAAAATCCCGAAAAAATTTCGAAAAACCGAAAAATTTTGGGTTTTTCGAAATTAGACCCCTACACCTCCAATTTCGAATTTTTTCGAAATTTTTTGGGCTCAAAAAATTTCTAATTTTTTACTCTATTTTATAAATCAAACCCCATTCCATTCCGGAAATCCAATAAAAAGTTATTCCAAATTTAAAAATCCCTCATATCCCACAAAAGGGGTACCCCTTTTGAAAAATTCGAGGGGTCAAAAATTTTCAAATTTTGACCCAAAAATATCCTATATGGTACTCTTACACCCGCTGAATCCAAATCAGGTGTCAGAAAAATTTTTAAAAAATTTGCAAAAAAGTTATAGCCCAAAAAAGTTTCGCGACATTTGCGAAATATTTAAAAAATCATATTTCGCCCAAATATACCTTTTGTAAAGATTTTAAAATCTTATCAGATGCAGAAAAATTTGCTTTATCCAAGAAAAATGGCTTCGGCGTGTACCGCCGACAAAAAACCCGAAAAAATTTCGAAAAAATAAAAAATTTAGGGTTTTTCGAAATTTGACCCCTACACCTCCCGTTTCGACTTTTTTCGAAATTTTTTGGGCTCAAAAAATTTCTAATTTTTTATTCTATTTTGTAAAGCAAACCCCATCCAATTCCATAAATCCCACAAAAAGTTATGATCCCCTAAAAAATCCCACAAATCCCCCAAAAGGGGTACCCCTTTTGAAAAATTCGAAGGGTCAAAAATTTTCCAATTTTGACCCAAAAATATCCTATATGGTACTCTGTCACCCGTTGAATCCATATCCGGTGTCAGAAAAATTCTATAAAAATTTTCAAAAAAATTATAGTCCAAAAAAGTTTCGCGACATTTGCGAACATTGGCCATAACTTTTTCAGACTCAACCGGACCCCCGACATATTATACCTTTTTCGGAGCCCCTCATTATCCCCTCTTGAATGACTACTCATTCACCGATATCCACTTTAATCTCAAATCCCGAAAATCCCGGATTTCGTAGTTCGAACTCCGAACTTCGACTTTATCCTATATCCCATTAGACTCCCCTGAACATCCCCTCTTGAATGAGTACTCATTCACCATATCCACGTTAATCTCAAATCCCGAAGATACCGAATTTCGAAGTTCGTACTCGGAACCTCGAATTTCGACATTATCCTTTATCCCATTTGACTCCCCTGATCATCCCCTCTTGAATGAGTACTCATTCGACCACACTTCCCAATCCCGAAAATCACGGATTTCGATGTTCGTACTCGGAACTTCGAATTTCGACTTTATCCTATATCCCATTAGACTCCCCTGAACATCCCCTCTTGAATGACTACCCACTTGCCTATATCCGCAACCCCCTAAAATACCGGATTTCGAAGTTCGAACTCCGAACTTCGACTTTCGACATTATCCTTTATCCCATTAAACTCCCCTGAACATCCCCTCTTGAATGACTACCCTCTTGCCCATATCCCCAACCCCCGAAAATACCGGATTTCGAAGTTCGAACTCCGAACTTCGACTTTCGAATTTCTCCTTTATCCCACTAAGCTCCCCTGATTATCCCCTCTTGAACAAATACCCACACACCCATATATCCCAATCCCGAAAATCCCGGATTTCGAAGTTCGAACTCCGAACTTCGACTTTAGGCTTAATCCTTTATCCCATTAGACTCCCCTCAGTCCCAGCTCTTGAATGACTACCCTCTTGCCCATATCCCCAGCCCCGAAAAACCCGGATTTCGAAGTTCGAACTCCGAACTTCGACTTTCATACTTATCCCTTATCCCTTTAGACTCCCCTCACTCCCTGCTCTTGAACGAATACTCACTCACCCATATCCACAAATCCCGAAAAAACCGGATTTCGAAGTTCGAACTCCGAACTTCGACTTTCGGCTTTACCATATATCCCATTCAACTCCCCTCATTATCCGCTTTCGAATGACTACTCATTCGACCATATTCTAAAATCCCTAAAAATCCCGAAATCTCGGATCCCTAATTTCGAATTCCCCCTCAACTTCCCCTATTTCATCCCTCCCTCAACTCGAAACTTGCTTAAGTTTCGAAATCCCACTATTTTCACTCGAAATTCCTCCCATCCATCAAAATTTCTCTCTCACCTATGAGATTTGCCTCCTGGCTTTCCTCAATTTAGAGAAATCCGACAATTATCGGTAAGACCGTTCTCTTACAGAAATTTTTGCCCCCCAATAAGTACCCCTAAAGTTCGAATTTTAACTTTGAAATTTTTCCTACCCATATCTCCTCGTTCTGCTTCAATCGCCTCCCAGCAGAAGTTTTTCGGTATCTTTATCCGTTTTCGAGTTATTTTCGAAAAACTCGAATTTTAAATACCGACACACCCGACAATTCACTGGAAAAGTCTGATTCTTTGCTCACGCATAAGTACCCTTGAAATTCGAATTTCGACTTCGGGTTTTTTGCAATCGACATTGTCTATTGATGCTTAAGTGCCCTCCCGTTAGTCCGACACGCGTATCTGTACCCATTCCGGAGATATCCCCGGTACCTCTATTATTTAGGTACCAAGGGGTTCCTAAAATTTTCCGTCCGTATTTTTCCCATATGCGGCATAAAATTTGACCCCGGACATGTAAAGCTTTCAGCCCATTATCTCAACTCTGTAAAGACTTCTAAATTTTTGATTAAATTTTACCAATACTTTTATATATATATATAAAACATGGACATTTAAAACGTGGAATGTCAGTTCAATTTTTTAATGACAAAGAACGTATATATAATGTTAGACAAGTTGGTTTTTTACATCCAGAGATGGTCCCATGTGAGGTTATTTTAAATTTATTTTTAATTGTTTTTATTAAATTTCTGTCCTAATTATTTCAAGTTAATTTAGTAAATCAACTCGAAATAATTAGGATAGAAATCTAATCACAAAAATATTTTTCATCGAAAAATTTTATTGCAAATTTCTCACATTAATTCTTTTTAAATTTTTATGTGAAATTTTTTACCGACATTTTAGTCATTAACTACAGGCCAAGTTGGTTATATGTATTGTGGAATTAAATCACCAAAAGATATTATTGTCGGAGACACTATATTTGAAGCTGGAAATAAAATGGATCTACAGCCTTTTATGTCAATTAATAAAATAAAACCAACAGTTTATGCTGGGCTTTTTCCAACGGAGTCTTCAGAATTTGAACGTTTAAATGTTTGGTTTTTGAATAAATTTAGAAAAAAAATATTTTAGAAAGCTGTTGAAAATCTTTGTTTAAATGACTCTTCTGTTGAAATTGAGACTGATTCTAGTGCTATTTTTGGACAGGCAAGTTTTTAAAAAAGTTTAAAAATTTTTAGTAGGATCTTTAAATTAATATTTGTGAAAAATTATATTTTTGTATAATGCAAAATTTTTATAGAATATTTATAAAAATTTTTTATTAAATTTATCTGTCAAAAAAAAAGATTTTTCAAAATTTATCACTTGTAATTCTTTAATTAAAAATTAATTTTTAATTATTAAGGGATGGCGAGTTGGCTTTATTGGTAAATAAATTTTATTTAATTTTAATTTTCTTATTTTTGGGAAATTTACATATGGAAATATTTGGCCAACGTTTAGGTTTCTTTGTTTATTTATATTTAATTTCTGTTTTATTTTAGAAAAAGAATATGGAGAATTGGCTGTTTTTACTTCTCCAACAGTTGAATACTTGGCAGGTTTATTTTGAATTTTAATTTCTTTTTTTAAATAACCAAGAAATAGACGAGAATTTTTCTTTTTTATTTTTAACTTATTTTTTGATTTTAAAATTGACAAAGTTTTATTTAAAAAATATTTTTCTAAAAATTTCAGATATTGTTAATAGTGAATCAATTAGGCAAAAACGTTATGGAGGGAAAGAGCAAATTATAATTTCAAAACCTTCATCTTTTCCTAGTTGTCCAACAGATATTGTTTGGTACTTTTTTAATTTTTTAAGAGAAATTTAACTCAAAATTCAAAAAAAAATTTCTAGTTATCACGAGCCAGTATCCCTAGTTTCAATCGTTACTCCAGCCGAATATTTTCAATTAATTAATTCTTTATGTGAAAATGCTAGAGGAGAAAATATAGAGACGATGTATATCGACGAAACAAAAATGTTACTTAAATGGAGGTTTTTTTGGAAAATAAAATTATTTTTTAAAAATATTTTTAAAATTTTTGGTTACCTTTATTGGATATTATTGTTGACTTTTTTGATGATTTAAAAAGACTAACAAGTGGTTATGCTTCTTTTGATATGAAAGATGATGGTAAGGAAGAGGAAGGAAGGATTTTATAATTTAATATTTATTTTTAAAAAATTAAAAAAAATCTTAACTAAAAGAAATTTTAAAAAACCCCCATTTCGAAATACTGAATTTTATTTTTTGATTTTTTTAATTTTCCGTTCCCTTTGGTTCCGTTTGTAATTTTTAGACCAAAAGTTTAAAACCTTGAAGCCCTATAATTTTTCGAAATGGGGTCAGGGGAAGAAAAGCCAACGATGGGAGTAGACTATCGACCATGCTCTACACGATGGTATAATTTTTTCCAAAAATTTTTTGGTCACAGTTCGGAAGGTTCCCTTGTCAGTTTGATAAGTCGTTTGTTCGAATTCTTTATTAAAAAACTTTTTAGTTTATTTTTATTAGTATAACTAATTAAAAGAAAGCTTTTTTAAAAATAAATTTATTAAAAATTTCCTTTAAAATTTCCTTAAAAAATTAATTTTCAGGTTATAGAGAATGTAAATTAGAGAAGATTTGTATTTATTTAAATGACAAACAGATAGAAGAATTATCGTTAATCTGTCCAAGTGTAATTGCAAGAAAACGAGCTAATCAAATGATTAATAAATTAAAAAATGAAATTCCTTCTCAACAAATTGAAGTTACAATAAGGGTTTCTTTTGGCACTTCGAGGAAAGCTGTGGCACAAGCAATTATTAAACCAATGAAAAAAGATTTTGCTGGAGTTTTGAAGGGTAAATAAAATATTTTTGAAAAATAAATTGTTGAAGTTGCTTTTTATAAAATTTATGGGAATTTTTTCTGCCTTGTCCCCGTTTTTTTAGAATTTTCTTAATTACTCCATGTTTTATTCTGGAGACACGCCAAAAATGGCGCGCGGCCATATCGGCGCAAAGCCATAACTTGCTTCAAGATTCCTTAATCCTAGTAGATTTAGTATCAAATGATTCCTCTCATCGAGCTAGAGAGATTCGAACAAAAATTGAAAAGGGTTAAACATTTTTCAGCAAGTTATGGCTTTATGGCCGCGCGCCGTTTTGGGCTGTACCCATTATTCTGTTCTGTTCAACTCACTTTTTTCTACAAGTTCATTAAACTCGTTTTTAGGCAATTTTGTGGCTGATCGTCTTGGGAAAAAATTAAAACATCAAAGGGAAGGAAAAGAAAGAATGAAAAATGTGGGAAATGTTAGAATACCACATCAAGCTTTCCTTAATGTTTTGAGAAAATAATTTAATAAAAAATTTTATTTTTGAATTTTTTAAGAATTTTTTTTCTGTTTGTTCGCTTAAATCCCGAAGCCAGAGATTTTCTTATTCCTTGAGATATGTACTTAGCCTCAAGTCTTTAATTTTAAAAATATTAAGAATTGATGTTTGGAAGAGAAAAGATTATTCTTAAGCAATTAATAAACATCTTAACTTTTAAAATTAATAAAAATTCTCTTAATGATCATTAAACTTGTATTGATTTAAAATGGTCAATTCATTCAATAATTTCTGTATAGATATTTTCTATCCCCATTTCCCCCAATGTAAGGGTAAAACTAATAGTGTGAAAAGACAGTAAAGATATGGGGAAAGGGCGTTGAGACTGTGTCATACTGACTGGTTTGTTTATTGAAGGACGCAGATGGATGGATGACCTCTATTCGTTCAGTTATTTTGGAATTTTTTTGTCCTAAATTAATGATTTTTTAGCTTTTTTTCCACAAAATATAGAGATTTTTTTAATTTTTATAAAATCCTGAATTTTGGCATTCTGTCAAAATGAGAGAAAACTGAGTTTATGCTTTGTTTCCCTTCTTGCTAGTACAAAAATTTGAGTTTTATTCCTAATACCTTTCTCGAGATTTTACTAAACAAATATTTTTTAATTTTTTTTTATTTTTTTCTTTCCATTTTATTTTTCTCGCGCAGGTCATTTTGCATTAAATAAAAGTAGTTGTAACTACCTAATCGATCTTTCGCTAGGTCATCAAAAGCGAAAAGAATGCAAATTCTTTACTCCTTTTAAACACACAAAACACCTGCACATCTTTAACCAAAAATTTTGTGTTTCTATTCAAACTTTTGAATATTTTTTTGTGTTTTACTCCCCCGTTTGCGCTCACAAATTATTTTTTCTTTGTTTTAGAGAGCGTCATTTAATTTAATTATTTTTATTTTGTTGCCCAAATTTAGATTGACTAAATTTTGTTTTAAAAAAATTGACTGGAAATTAATTTTTGTAAAAAATATTTTTATTATCCAATTTATTTACATATAAAATTGTTGTTAATTTTTAATTTTTTGCAACATTTTTTTTAATTTTATTTTAACATTTTTTGTAGTTAGAATTTATTTATCAAAATAATTTTTGTAATTCTTAAAATTGATTTATTTCGCTTTTTGTTAAAAATTAAAAGCAGTGTAACATTTTTGTGAAAAATGAGATTTAGAAAAGATATGAATACATACCGTATTTTCTCGATTAATTCCCCTTCCTCGAATAACTCCCCCTCTCAATTCCCCATTCAAAAGTTGGGTTGCAACAATAATTCCCCACCCCCAAATACCCTACTGCACGTTCAAATGCCAAAACTCGAATAATTCCCCTCCCTCAATTAATTCCCCATGCCAAGGAAGAGATGAAAAAATAATTCCCCAGGGGAATTAATCGAGATAATACATAATCCCGAGTATATCCATTTGGACTTTAGTATAACCCCAAGCTTATCTACTTAACTATAGTAGAACTTTTTTACTCCAAAAATTAATAAAATTAGAAAATTAATAAAAGAAAAACATAAAAATAATAGCTTACCTCTAAATTTTTTTTTCACTATATTTCTTTCCATAATTAGTCTATACAACAATTAACAACCTAAAAAATATGAATGCTTTTGCTTGTTCTTTTATAAAAAATATATACAAAACGAGTATAGAGCTAATTATTATTTTCTAGGTTCAATTTAATTTTAATTGTAGATATTGTGTTTTTATTTAAAGCTTTCGATATATTTAAGAGTCTCCTTAAATTGCACCTCCGAACCTTTTTTACTCAAAACAGCAGACTTCCTTTATCACCCAAAGAATTGCCTAACTTTGGGTGTCTTCTAATTTTTTCTTCTAATTAAGGATTTTTCTTGCTTATTTTTAAATGTTAAATTTATTTGAGATTTTTCTAAAAATTTTTACTTAATCGTTTTATCAAATTACTTTAAAATAAAACTAACAAGTTTATTATTTGTTACGAAAAATATTGAAATAATTTACATAATTCATACATCCTAATTTTTCCTTAATTTTTTTCTTGAATTTTAGAAATTTAATTTTTTTTTTTGTATTTTTACAAGACCACACATGATATTTTTTAATTTATCCTTATTTATTTTTACAAAAAGTCTTTCTCTACAATCTTTTTTAAAAAAAAAAATTATTTTTACTTCTTAAAATTATCCTGTATATAATTAAGTACTTCAAGTTATTTTTAATATTTTTCTACTCCTCTCCGATTTCCATGAAATAAATATATAATTTTTAAATAAGAGAAAACTAATGAGCAATTGTGAATAAATAAATGAAGAATATTCTTTTTTGTTTATCCACTTTTATGTCCGTTATTTTCTTCTTCTGTTAACCGACACTTTACGAACCTGCAATTTTAAATACTTTCGAAGATTAATTTATAATCGAAATATAATTAAGAGAAGAATATCCTTTGTTTATTAATTTTGATTTTAATAAGGCCATGTTTAAATTCCCAAAATTAAATTAAATTTCCCTTAAATCAAAGAAAACATTTTGAGACTTACAAAATTGGGAGTGGACCGGGCTCTAATTAATAACACTAGCAAATTCACAAACAATAATTTCTAATGTGAAAGGAACATCATTTACACCAGGGCTGGGCTTATTTCGCACTTTCGCGTTTCGCATCTTTCGCATTCTCGCATTTTTTAGCGCGAAGTTTCGCATTTCGCTTTTTATTTTTTCATTACGCCCAGCCCTGACTTATTCCCAGGCTTGGTAATGGATGTGGATACAGATAAGTTCAAAATGCCTGCGGATATCCGTCTGTATCTGCCATAAATATCCGGGTACGGATACCAAAATCCGTGTCCATTACCATGTCTGCTTACACCCTTAAAATGCTTTTGTTTAGCCGTTAAAAAATTTACTGCTAAAAAGTCTTGAAGATAAAGTCTATTTCAAATCCAATCTCAACTCTTCATCCCCACCTAACTAAATTAAAAACCCTTATTTGTTAAATATATTATCGGGTAAACGTAAAATTAAATTTTAAATTTATTTATTTACTCTTAATTAAAAACACGTTAAATTTTTGTTAAATCTACTTAAAATTAGAGATAATCTATTAAAAAAATATTTCATTTCCTTTTTTTATCCCTTTCACAGTCCCCGTTCATTTTTTTGTTTTTGATTTTGCTTTACTCTGCAACACTTGATTTAGTTGTGACAACACAAACAAACTGGCCTAGCATTTATAAAAGAGAAGACGAGTGGATTTTTAAAGAGGAATAACTACATGAAACGGGGAAAATTGTAGTTGGGAAGGGGGAAGGGGGGATGGGGGGGGGGGACTCATTCATTGAAGGAAGAAGAAAGAAAAGCTCTTTTATTTCCTTTAACTATTTTATGGAAGCTAAATAATATTTTTTTGTTAAAAATTAATGGAAGTTAAAAAAATATTTATTTTATTAGTGAAGTAAAAGGAAACATTCCCTCACGCATTACCTTGAAAGTTTTCAATGTTCATTTTTGCTTGATTTTGGATAAATCCAGTAATTCTTTTCAGCATCTATGTTTTAGTGTACATACATATGTAAATACAAATTAACTTCAAAATTCCTTTAGGACTTTCATCTATAATATTTTACTTTAGTTCCAAATATTTAAAATAATTAAATAATTTATAAACCAACACAATTCTCTGAAGCTGGCAACTTCCCAATAACTCTCCCAACTTTCCTATTCTCATGTTTTTCACGAAGGCTACCATTTTTTTTAAAAATAATTTAATTTTTAGATTTTTAACTTTTTAATATTAAAATGGGAGGATATTATTATTAATTTTTGATATTTAATTAATTTTTTGTTTTTAACAACAAAAATGAATTTATTAATATTTGGATTTATTAATTATTTTGTTTGTATGTTTGTTTTAAAATAATTATTTACACATTAATTTTAAAAATAGTTTTGTGTACATTTATCAAACAAGGCATTGCCACAGAAAAGTTAAATCCTCCAGTTGCATTCCCTATATTTAGACCGCCTTTGGAGGCTGTTCAACGATATAAAACTTCTGCAGAACATGCAAGTTTTTGAAATTTTGAAATTTAAATATTTTTAACTGACAATGAAATTTCTTTTATTTTGGTAATTGATTAAGGATATCCAAAAGAATTTCTTTTAACCGACAATCTTATTATCTAAACTTTAGTTATTACTACAATAAAATTATTTTGTCTCATTTAGCGTTGGAAAGTCTTAGGATATTCGTAACCTATCCAAAATTTCCTTAATTATTCGTTTCTGTTCCGAATTGACAACCCTTCCTATTCCCCATTGTTTTGAGATTTTTAAAGTTACATTTTATTTTAAAATTCTCCATTTATTTTTTAGTTACAAAGACAACATTCTTCTCAAAATTTAAACGATACACAAATAGAAATTGAAGAAATTTCAACAAATTTTAGTAATGATAATAATACTTTTGTTGAACCTTCACTTGAAGGATTGTTGGGGGATGTAGAGGAAGAAGAGGAATTGATAGAAGGAAAAATAAATAAAAATAAAACAATTATTGAAGAACAAAAACAAAATAATACTTTAGAGAATTTGGGGGGAAATTTTGGAAAATTAAAAAATGAGACAAAATTGAGGTTTGTTAATGGAAGAAGGAAGGATAATAAATTAAATTTTATATTTAAAATAATTTTCATAATTTAAGACAAAAATTCATTTTCAGGCATTTAAACAATTCAATTAATGCCACAAATGTAATAAATACACCTCAATTTCCTGTATTTACTGGTTTGGGGATGGAAATTATTGGTAAAAAGTTTTGTTATTAATTAAGGAAAATAAAAGATTGAAGAGGGGGAATCCATTCATTCTCCAAATCCATTCATATCGATCTTAATCCCTTTATATCATTCACTGGGACTCATCTTTACATCGCCGCAGGCGAAAATTTTGAAAATAAAAATTTCGGTTCCGGTTCCGGATATCCGGAGATTTCCCAGGAACCGCCATCCTTACCCCCCACTCCCCCTTTATTTAATTTTAAATAATTTTCAAAGATGTTTCACCTTCAAATGATGCCGAAAAAGAAAATAAATTTAAAGAAGAAATACCCTCCCTTCCTCCTCCCCCTCACAACCACCAACAACAACAATTTAATAATCATCATAAATTACATTATTATTTAAATAAAAATAATACAAAATTAAATAAAAAATATCACCCATTAAAAATAAATAAAGAACAACAACAAGAATTACCTACAACAACAACAATTCCTTTTATTCAATTATTACCTACAACCCCCAAACATTTTGAAGAAGAAAATATTAATCCTTTTATATTAAACCAGAATTTATCAGAACAAAAATTAAATAAAACAAACAATAAACAATTAAATAATTCTGAAAATGTTGGGGAGGATTTTGAAGGAATTAATTTAATTAATGGAACTGAATGGAATAATAAAAATGGTAAGGAAAAGAAATGGAAGGAGGGGAGAGAGGGTTAAAAAATTAAAAAATTTTTTTTATTTTAAATAAAAAAATTAATTTTTAGAAGCTAAAAATGCCAATGATAATATTAATAACCAAACAATAACTGATGAAAATAGAAACATTATTACCTCAAATACAACAACAATCACTTCAAGTACCTCAAGTGAAGGTAGAAAAATATTTTATTTTTGGTTGATTAGTTAATCTAATTAAATTTTGATTTTTGTTTAAATTAATTATTTGAGGATTTAATACGTCGTTTAAAACTTTAAAGGAAAAGTCTTTAAATACAAAATTTTAGTTAATTTAACTTTAAAAGATTTATCTACTTCTCCTTCAACAATAACAACAACAAAAACTTTAATTGAAGATTTTGGAAGGCCTAATATACGTGATGAATTAGATAATGGATTTGAGAGGGTTACAATGCATTTAGTTGATATTCCTTCGACTACAACTGAATTAGTAAATAATGGGTCGATTATTGTTGGAGAAAGGGTTGGCAGTTGAAATTTATTTTTTTTGTTGTTTCTTTTTGATAATTTTTTTAATCAAAAAGGATTTTTTATTAGTTTAGAGATTAAAATTTTTTGAGAACAAAACCTTTTCCCCTAAATGTCTGAGAAACTAAAATATTAATTAAATTTGGATGATTACTCAAAAATTTGAAAGAAAAATTGGGAGGGTTTTAAAGATTAATTGTTTTTTAAATAAATAACTAAACATTTTTAAATTAATTTTAAAGCCTTCCCAACAACAACAAACTTCAACACAAAATATATTAACATTTAATGGAATACCTTTTAATCTTCCCTCAACAAAACCACCCCCATCATCTAAAACAATTGAACAATTAAATACAAATTTATTTACAACCACAATTATTCCCTCAAATGTAAATATGTTTTCAATTTTTCTTCCAAAAATTATTTTATTTTTTAGACTTTAAATTCCCCTCCCCCACCACCCCCTCCTTCTTCTAATGATAAAAATGAAGTATTAATAGAACAACAACATTCTCATATAGAATTTCCTCAAATAAATAATAATTTGGGGGAAGGAGATGAATTAGTAAATAATCAGGGAAATGAAAAAGATAAAAATGAAAATTCTAAAATTAATGGAAATAATGGAAGAGAAATGGAAAATAAAGAAAATTTTGTTCAAGAAAATTTAAATAAAAATGGGGTAAGAATAAATTATTGAGGGCGCCAAATTGTGGCGGCGCCGAAATGTTCAAATAAAGCCTAAACCTTTTGAAGCCTAAACCTTTAGGATTAAAAAGACATTTCGGCGTCAACAAAAAATAGGCGCCAAAGTTATTTAGTCATTAATTAATTTAAAAGAAACAAACTTTATTAACAGATCTTACATTATTTGAGGGTTAAGGATATAAGAATTCTTTCTTAATAGATTAATCTTATCTGAAAAAGAATTTTATTGAAAGGACCTTTTGACTTCAAATTTTAGTCAAAAACTTGAAGCCAAAAGGTTTAGGTTTTATGGGGAGAACTGAAATGGACAATTCGGCGCAAGATTATTTGGCGTTACTATGAATATTTTGGGAAAAATTTTAGATTTTTGGAAGTTTTTTTTATTCGAGCTCGTTAATTTTTAAACATTTTCTCTAAATAGTCACGGTTTAGTCACATCATTATATACGTCAAATGAGCTGTTATTTATTTGCATATTCGAATTTTTCACCCCATAATCGAGCTTACTTCCCCCTGTTTTTCAATTTTTCGGGACATATACATACATAACTCGCTCCGGAATTATTTCCTAAAGTAGGGAGTGGTATCGTTCGACTCAGCTCGTCAAGACAAATCGGATGAAATATGTCACGTCCCGAACTTTTACCACCGGTACACTACAGCCAAAATTTCTTTTTGCCAACTCTATTTTTAACTTCTTTCTAGGATATTGGAGAGTCAATGAAAAGAACATCAAAATTCTCAACTTCAACAAGTTCATCAGATAATCTTAGAATATTTGTTTTATTGGGAATTATTACAAGTAATTAAAATAAAAATAATTTTAAAAGAGAAACACTTCTTTTAAAGTTTTGCTTGTCACAATTGCACTTGCAAGTATTTTTTCTGCTCGTTATGTAAAGAGAAGTAGACAATTACATGGAAAATATCAAGTAGATTTTTGAACAAATTTTTTATTAAAAATTTGTGGAAATATTATCTGAATTTTCATATTATTTTATATTCTTTTAGCCAGCTGCCTACGAAATGCAAACACAACAACAACAACAAAATCGTTATCAAACAACAGATTTTGTAAATACACAAATATATAGACAACCACCTATTAACAACAATTTTAGTTCCCCTTCTAATTCTCCTTCAATACAACAACAAATAACTGCTACTTTTGGAAAAGAAGAAAGGCTTATTTAAAATTATTTTTATTTTTAATTAAATTAAAATGATTCGAAAATTGTCTCTTTTTTAGAAAGAGAAAGTGATTGTTTATTTAAACCCCGTGTTGCCTCCATTTTACTTACAAGCATTTTCACTTTTTTATTTTTAATTCTAATATACAACAGATATTAATTACTCAATCTTACTATAAAAATACTCACAAAATTAGGGCTAGTCAAAACATGCAAATATAGGATGCAAGTATGTCTCTAAGAAGTTAAAAAATGCTGTTTTTATGTTGGTTCAAGACTAAAATATTTAGTATGTAAAATTGCATTGCATATTTTGGTCGGCCCTAATTATTATATCAATCGGGCATTTACATTAACATCTCACTTTATCTGTTAAATTTTTGTGGGACTGATCATAATATCAACCAATAAAATATTACATCTAGATTTTCAATCTTAAATACCTTTTTATGGCTATAATCATTGTTGGGTATCCAAGAGACACTAACTTTGGAGCTGGCCTAGGATTTAGCTCCAATTGGAGCAATAGCCCTGATTTGGAAGGGGTTTGAACAGACGCACATACACAAAACATAAAAAACCCAGCGCTGTTAACACTCGAATGCCATAATTTCTTAAAAAATATGATTCAATCGCAACTCACAAAAATTCTATGTAGATTGATCCCACAATAAAGTGAGAATTATTAATATGTATTTTTTGTTAATTTTACTTCTATTTTTCATCATCTCTCGATTTTTTGTTGAATATTTTTTTGTTCAAACAATTAAATAAATGGAATAAAAAATAATTGTAACTTAGGAGGGTTAAAAGTTAATTGTAAAAGGTTAATTGTAACTTAGGAGAGTTTAACTTAGGAGGGTTATCAATTATAACACTCCTAAGCTTATAAGTAATTGTACATTTGAAACTTACGGCTACAAAAAAAACTTTTTTGCATCCAGCCTGGTTCTTAAGAAAGAAACTTGTAGGAAAAAAATGTCAGATATACCAGTGAGTGTATTCAGATATTAAAAACAATTTTTATAACAGACAACAAAAAATAATTTAAATAATTTCAGAATCTTCAGTAATCGATTTAACAGAACGTTTCTCAACAAATTTAATTTTAAGTTTATTTTTGATGTTTGTTGTTTTGTTTGCACCTCCAATTGATAAAATATTCCTTTGTTGAAGACTTTTTACTCTTTCTAAAAATTAAAAAGAATTATTTTTCTAATAAAAAAATTTAAAAAAAAAATCAATTCCAAATTTGACAAACTTAAAATAAAATCCTAATTAAATCCAATAAAAATTATTTTTTTAAATTTGGAGAATTTAAATTAAAGTTGAGAAAAAAAATCAAAATTTTCTTTTTCCAACACTCCAATTTTCCCAAAATAATTTAAATTCCCAACCTTGAATTAAAGAATTACTAGCACTTGTTAAACATCTCAAAGAGGCAGGTAATTCTTTTGGAGTAATTACTGGCTCTTCATAAGGCTCGAATTTTCCTCTTCCCAGTTTCTTTCTTGTTGTCAAATTTTTAATTTTCCATTGTTTATTTTTTAATTTTAATTTATTTAAGTGTTGAGTATGTTCAGAATTGACATTTTTAGTTAAGGATTTTAAACTAAAAAAATTAAAAAAATAATTTTGAAATAAAAACCTTTGTAATTGTTGTTTTTGTATTTTCTTTTGATTATCGACAACTTTTGTTGTTGAATTGTGAATTTGTTTCAAATTTTTCTTTTTCTTTAAACGAAGGCGGGTTCTTAATTTTTCGTTGTCTTTCTCCTCTATTTTAATCTCTGAAAATTTTTTAAAAATTTTATAAAAAATATATATAAAGAAACAAAAAATATTTAAATAATCTCAATATTTTTCTTTTTCGAGTCCAGAAATATTTATTTTACAAAAATCGGTCGCTAAAAGTGGTTAAAAAACTCTATTTTTAAATTTTTTTTATTTTTAAAACTTTTTAAAATTTGGAAACACGTTGTTAGTCTGGGTGAGGGGCAAAACAAGGAATGACAAAACACGCAACGACCAAAATACGGATCATACCAAAACATGGAATGACTAAATAATGAAACGACCAAAGCAGGGTCAAGAGAATTAATTTTTGTTTGAAAATAGGAATATTTTTTAAAATAAAATGGAGATTTTATCTTTGGAACGTGTTATGGTCATTCCATATTTTGTCCAACCTTGTATAATTTTTAAAATTTTTGGTCAGTTCGATAGTATCCCTTGATTACCTACACCTCAAAAATGCCGAAAGAGCACTTTCTGCTCTATTTTTTCTAGAGACCAGTAAGCCCGACCCTTACCAAAATAATTTTAAAAAATGCGACAGAATTCAAATAACAAACCTTTATTTTCAACAGTCTCCTCTACCTCAGTTTTAACTTCTCCAATAGACAAAGGTCCATCAATAGTAAATTTCAAATCTTCTTTCAATCCCTAAAATTCAAATAAATTATTTAAACAAAAAATATTCTAAAAACCCCAAAATTAAAAAATTCATCATCATTTGGTCTAATTTTCTTTTCCACACGTTCCTCTTCAGCAGAAATTTTTTTCTCTTCTTTTACAACTTTTCCAAGAAAATCCTTTGAATAATTAATTAAAAATTCTTTAATAAGTTAAATATTTCTTGATTTGTTATTTTTAAAATTTCTTTTTCGGCTAGAAACAAAAAAATCGAGTCGAGATTGATAACTCGAAAAATCTTGATCCACTTTTCGATTGTAAAATTAATGTAAAAAATACCAAATAGCTCCCCAATGGAGGATTATAAGAAATTCCTTCATCTGGAAGTGCCACAGGTGGAAGAATACTTGGAATATAACGAGTTGATTTAATACGCTTGTTTTGCAAATTGTTGTCTTCACATTCCCAAAGGTCATACAAACGAGAATTGCCTTTTTGTTTTTCCATTAAGTTGGGATTTTTAAGTAAAAAATGTTAAATTAAAAATGACTAAAAAACTTAAAATAACATTCAAATATAGACTATGGCATAGCAAAACAATTTTAAAAATTAAAAAAATATTTACATAGTAAAGTATTTATCAAATAAAAAAATAATTTAAACAAAAAATCAAATCAACAAAATTAAGTTTATCAAGAAAACCCTGAGATAGATCTATTATCATCAGAATCTCCGGAGTAATAAATGCTATCATCATCTGTAAAAATAATCCTAGGTACTAAAAAACATAAGGAAAAAAAACCTACAATCCATAAAATCCTTCAGAAATTATTTGAACCAAACATTCGTGTTGTCTTCCAACAGAATCAACAATTTCTATATTACGTGCATAATAGGCTGGATACTCCTCATCATCTTCCAATAAATCATCGATTTTTATTTCAAAAGGTTTCCCCAAATTAAAAAGTTTGTTGTCAGTATCGATTTCCTAAAAATAAAATATTCTTTCTAAATAATCTAATTGTAAAACTAACATCAAACGTATCGTCATCAAATATTGACATAAATTCTACTTCGATTTTCAAATTTTTCCCACCAGTATTTAAATTTTTAAGATGCTCAATAAATGAAATAATAACGGATTCAAGATTTAAGAGAAATTTTTCGGGTGAAATTGCGTTAAGAAAAGAATCATCATCAGAAATTGATTTGTTTGGGCCAGAGTCATTAAGAAAAGCAGTAAAAACAAATTCAATAGATTCTAAATTTGGGCAGGAAAGTAGTAAAAATTGTATATAATTAATTAAATTGTTGACAAAATTGGTTGTAGACTTAATTTCAATATTACATTTACTTGCAATTTTCTTTGATCGTTCCATAGGAACTGAAGGTCTATAAATAAAATTTATTAAAAATTCATAAAGACAATCTATGGCAGTTTCGGGAGATATAACACAGTTATAAGATCTATGTGAATAAATAACAAATAGCCCAATCAAAGGGGAAGTACTGAAAAATCCCATTTTCCATTAAAGCCAAAGAAAAATAAAATCCACAATTACCTTTCGAGTAAAATAAGTTCAAAACATTTAGGATCGCAATTAAATATATTTCCACCAATGCAGCAAAACTCCAAATTTTCAATATTCATTGAAAGTAATGTAATTAAGTGTTTTTCTTAAATTCTTTTAATCTTATAAAAATAAAAAATGTACCAATAATTTCTGCCGGTTCATCAATAATAATTTTAGAGATATTCAGACTCGAAGAAATTGAGGAATCGGATAAACTTTCTTAAAAATAATTTTTTAAATATATTAACAACCAAACCTTCAAGACTAAGCAAATATTTCCAGATATTTTTATTTGTTGCAGAAAAATCAATTTTGGGTAAATTTCCAAGAATTTCATTTATATGAATAGATGAAATGTTTAATAAACCAGCTTCAAGAAGATCCGAAAAAAAGTTTTTGCTGATAACGTAAAACTAAAAATGTTTATTAAATTAATCTATGGTGATTAAGATTTTAGGTCGTTGTGATTGATCAATTAGAATGTGACCTTTTTAATTGTAATTTAAAAATTACACTTAAAGGAAAAGGATAAAATAAACATATCTTAAAACGTTTATCATCTCGGCCAAAACTAATAAATATATTATTTTCACTATCATTATTGCCATAATTGGATATATAAAGTCGCTTCATTTTAGAAAAATGAGAAAGAACCGCTCTCATATTTCTTGCACTGTGATACTAAAATTTTAAATTAAAATATTATTTAAAAAAATTAAAAACCATAAAAAGAGTATAACCATTTGTAGTGCGCAAATCAACTTGACCATAAACTTTTTTAAAAAGTAATTTTTCAGAAATAATATAGAGAACATCATCAGATAAACGTTGTATTTGCTCCATCTGTTAAAACTTTCTAAAGAAATAATTTAATATAAAAGAAATTAAATCGAGATTATTTGAATAAAAAACAATTTGTAAGAATAAAATATTTAAATAGTAAAGCATTTATCAATTCAAAAATAATTTAAACAAAGTAACAAATCATCTCAATAATTTAAATGAAAAAATACTGAAATAAAAAATAAGTACCAGCACCGTAACTTTCTTGTAAATGATCACACTAGCAAAAGTAGTAGTAATAAAAAACAATTCAATCAAAATAGTATCCATATTCGTCAGAATCATAACTTCCTCCATAGAAATAATCATCAGAATCAGCTGAAAAACATTAAAGATTCGAAAGGTAGAGACGGTTTTCGAAAATTAGATTCTAATCTGACAATAGATTTTTCCTAATTTTAAAAATCAACTGACTACTTTTAAAAACTGATTACTCCGAAAATATTAATAAAAAAGAAAACGTACAATCAATATAATCTGGTATTACAGAAAATATTTTAAATAAACATTTATGTTGTCTTCCAATGGAATCAACAATTTCTATATCACGTGCATAATATTCTGAAGACTCATCAAGATAAATGCCATTCGCTGTATCAATAAGCAAATCTTTTTCGATATGTGTTCCCAAAGAAAAAAGTTTATTATTAGTAGGAATAAGCTAAAGATAAAAAATATATTTAAAAGATATTTAAAACTAACATGAAAAGTCTGAACAGCAAACTCTGTACAAAATTCTACCGTGATTTTCAAATCTTTACCACCATTTTCTAAACGTTTGAGATAATCAATAACTGTAAGAAAAAATGTTTCAAGAGTTGTAATAAACTCTTCAGGTGAAAGTAAAGGAACAGAGTCATCAGAAATCGATTCGTAAGAGCCCGAGTCGCTAGAAAAACCGGTTTTCAACTTCGAATCATAAGTAAGATCAAAATCAATAGATTCTAAATTTGGACAGCAAAGAAGTAAAAACTGAATATAATTCATTAAATTGTTGATAAAATTGGTTGTAGAGTTAAGTTCAATAGTACATTGTGTTGTAATTTTCTTCGTAAAGTTCATAGAAATTGATGTCCTATAAGTAAATATGTTTAAACAATCAGTAAAAATTTAGATTCATAAAGCAATAGTTAGTAAACTTTTCAGACTTGCCAGAAAACCCGCTATACTGGATAACCATAAGCATAGCCCTAATAAAACATTGTAAACACAAAATAGTACCTTTCGAGTAAAACAAGTTCAAAAGCTTTTGGGTCGCAATCAAACATATTTCCATAAATGCAGCGAAACTCCAAATTCTCAATATTCATTGAGAGTAATGTAATTAAATGTTTTTCTTAAAAAATTTAGTTTTTTAAAAATTTATGAAAAAATAAACTAATAGTTTCCGCTGGTTCATTAATAATAATTTTAGAGATATTCAGACTCGAAGATATTGATGAAGAGGAATCAGATAAACCTTCTTAAAAACGATTTTAAAAAATAAATATATTCACAACCAAACCTTCAAGACTAAGTAAATATTTCCAGAGATTTTTATTTGTTGCAGAAAAATCAATTTTAGATAATTTCCCAAGAATTTTATTTATTTGAATAGATGAAATGTGCAATAAACCAGCTTCAAGAAGATCAGAAAACAAGTTTTTGCTAACAAGGCACTAAAAATGTTTATTAAATTAATGTTGGTCAAAAATGATTGAAATTTTAAGCCATTGATGTTAATCAATTAGAATATACTCTTTTAAAATTTTACTTCTAAACATGAACGGAAAAATAACTAAATTACATGTGGAATTTCCTCTTTGCACAATCTAATAAAACAATCATTGCCAAAAGTTGAAAGATCAAGATGCTTCATTTTAGAAAAATGAGAAAGAACCGCTCTCATATTTCTTGCACTGTGATACTAAAATTTTAAATTAAAATATTATTAAAAAAATTAAACCATAAAAAGAGTACAACCATTTATAATTCGCAAATCAACTTGACCATAAACTTTTTTAAAAAGTAATTTTTCAGAAATAATATAGAGAACATCATCAGATAAACGTTGTATTTGCTCCATCTGTTAAAACTTTCTAAAGAAATAATTTAATATAAAAGAATATAAATCGAGATTATTTGAATATAAAACAATTTTTAAGAATAAAATATTTAAAAAGTAAAGGATTTATCAAATTTTAAAAATAATTTAAACAAGGTAAAAAATCATCTCAATAAATTAAATGAAAAAATTTTGAATAAATATTCAACACTGATAAAAATCATGTGGACGAATATATGCATATTCGTTAAAACCATATCCTCCATTGAAATAATTATCATAATCATCATTAATATAATCTAAAAGACAGTAAAATGAAATCAAACGATTTAAAAGACAGAAAATTTTTCGAAAATTAGCTTCGTATCTTAAAACGATTTTGTCCGTAATTGAAAGATTAATTGACTCGTTTTAACGACTGATATCCCCAAAAAATTTAATAAAAGTATTGACCACGGGTAACAAAAAAAGGAAATAAAAAACTTACAATCCTCCTCCTGTTTTTCAGAAAGTATTTTAACCAAACATTCATGTTGTCTTCCAATAGAATCAACAACTTCAATGTTACGTCCAATAAATTGTGGAGTCGCGCAAGAATAAATGCCTCGTGTCGGATGAATATTTTTGATTTCGATACGTTTTCCCATATAAAAAAGTTTATTATCCGTAGGAATATGCTAGAAAGAAAAATTATATTTAAAAAATATTTAAAACTAACATCAAAAGTATCAGCAGCAAATGTTGAATAAAATTCTATTTTAATTTTCAAATTTTTACCACCCTTTTCCAGATTTTTGAGAAAATCAATAATTGCAGTGAAAAATAATTCAAGATTTGTAACATATTCTTCAGGTGAAATTGAAGGAACAAAGCCTTCAAAAATAGATTCGTAAGAGCCCGAGTAGCTATAAAGATTGGTTTTCAACTTCGAATTAAAAAGAAATTCAATAAATTCTGAATTTGGGCAACAGAGAAGTAAAAATTGTATATAATTCATTAAATTGTTGAGAAAATTGGTTTTAGAGTTAAGTTCAACAGTACATTTGGTTGTAATTTTCTTTGTGCGAATTATAGAAATTGAAGGTCTATAACTAAAAGTTGAAAAATTAAAACAATTTGATTAAAGTTTTTATAAAAAAACGTTTTTAAAAACTAAGAGACATTTGGGCATAAAAAAAATTAAGAATACCTATGCCAATATGAAATTTTTTTACAAACATTTTCATAAAATAATAGCTTGAAAACTTCAATACTTTTAGGCCAGAAACCCCGTTATATTGAATAATCATACATTTGCTTTATTACTTACACGATCATATGAAATTACCTACCTTTCGAGTAAAACACGTGTAAAAGTTTTTGCTTCACATTCAAACATATTTTCATTATTAGCACAACAAATCTCCAAATTCTCAATATTCATTGAAAGTAATGTAATTAAATGTTTTTCTTAAAAGATTTATTATTTTTAAAATTCTATAAAAAATAAACTGATAGTTTCTGCAGATTCAATAATATAAATTCTGGAGATACTCGAACCCGAAGATGTTGGTGAAGAAGAATCAGATAAACCTTCTTAAAAATAATTAAAAAATATAGGTAATAGTTAAGTTTGTGTTACCCCTTTTTTCTTCGTCTGAATGTAATGTACCGGAGGTAAAAGTTCGGGACGTGACATATGTCATTCGATCCGCTCGACGAGCTGAGTCGATGCTTCAATCCCAATTTCAGGAAATAATTCTGGACCGAGTTATATTATACCAAAATCGACCTTACTCCCCCCTATGGTTTTTCAATATTTCGGGACCTATAACTCGGTCCAGAATCATTTCCCGAAAATGGGAGTGGAACCATCGACTCAGCTCGTCGAGACAAATCGAATGACATGTCACGTCACGGACTTTTACCTACACTACACTACAGTCGAAAAAAAGGGGTAACAAAACTTAACTATTATATTCACAACCAAACCTTCAAGATTAACCAAATATTTGTAGATATTTTTATTTGTTGCAGAAAAATCAATTTTAGGCAATTTCCCAAGAATTTTATTTATTTGAATAGATGAAATGTGCAATAAACCAGCTTCAAGAAGACCAGAAAATATCATTTTGTTAACAGAAATTGATGATTCAAGAATGTGAGACTAAAAATATTTATTAAACTAATCGGTACTTTATTAATATCCCGGCCCCCACCCCTATTTAAGTCTCAGATTAATTTTCCTTTTCTTTACTGTCCATAATTTTTTCCTTCAAAATTTACAGGTAAAAGGCAAGTATTAGGAAGGAAAATATAGACGGCAATGCAAAAATGGGCCGAAAGGCAAAATTTAACATTGGAAATTTGGCCATTCCGAGGTAGGAAAAATAGAAAGGAGAATTAATCTGAGACTCAAATAGGGGTGGGGGCGGAATATTAATAAAGTACCCAGGAGAGGATTTCCATGTGATGGATAAGGAACCATTAATTCTGATTGAGTCCAAAATGAGAGAGTGGGAAGGAGGTATATACATATGCCAATTAATAGATGGTCAAAAAATGTTAATCAAGATGATTACAGAGCTGGCAATAATTTAAATTTTGAAATTATTTCCAGAAAGGAAAATAAAAACAACACACTCACAATACAGTCAGGTATTACGTCTTTGTAAAATTTAATAAAACAATCATTGTTACAAATTGAAAGATCAAGATGCTTCATTTTAGAAAATTGAAAAAGAAAACCTCTCATATTTCTTACACTGTGAAACTAAAATTTTAAATAAAAATATTATTTAAAAAAATGAAAAACCATAAAAAGCGCATAAGGATTTGCAATTTTACTTCGCAGATCAATATCCCCATAGCGATTTTTAAAAAGTAATTTTTCAGAAATAATATAGAGAACATCATCAGATAAACGTGGTATTTGCTCCATCCGTTAAAATTTTCTAAAAAAATAATTGGACATAAAAGAATATAAATCGAGATTATTTGAATATAAAACAATTTGTAAGAATGAAATATTTAAATATAGTAAAGCCTTTATCGATTCAGAAATAATTTAAACAAAGCAAAGAATCATCTCAATAAATTAAATGAAAAAATCTTGAATAAATACTCAACACTAATAAAAATCATGTGGATCCAGAGAATATGCGTCAATATAATATGCACGTTCGTCAAAAATATTTCCTGTATTATATCCATTATCATAATCATCCCAAACATCTAAAAGACAGTAAAATAAAATCAAAGGATTAAAAAAAGATAGATTTTTCGAAAATTAGATTCTTATCTTAGAACAATCTTTTCCAATTTTTCTAAAAAATTAATTGACTCGTTTTAACAAATGATATCCCCAAAAAGTTTAATAAAAGTATTGACACTGGTAACAAAAAAGGAAATAAAAAAACTTACACTTCTCCTCATATCCTTCAATTTTAACCAGACATTCATGCTGTCTTCCAACAGAATCAACAACTTCAATGTTACGTCTAATAAATGCTGTAGGCGCCACATAATAAATGCCGTCTGGTGGATTTTCGATTTTCATATGTTTTCCCAAAGAGAAAAGTTTATTATTTTTAGGAATAAGCTAAAAACAGAAAATATATTTTAAAAAAATATTTAAAACTAACATCAAAAATATAGTCATCAAATGATGAATAAAATTCTATTTTAATTTTCAAATCTTTACCACCATTTTCTATATTTTTGAGATAATCAATAATTGAAGTAAAAAATGATTCAAGATTTGTAACATATTCTTCAGGTGAAAGTAAAGAAACAGAGTCGTCAGAAATCGCTTGGTAAGAGCCTGGTTCGCTATAAAAATCGGTTTTCAACTTCGAATCAAAAGTAAAATCAAAATCAATAGATTCTAAAGTTGGACAGCAAAGAAGTAAAAATTGTATATAATTCATTAAATTGTTGAAAAAATTGGTTGTAGACTTAAGCTCAATCTGACATTTAGTTTTGATTTTTTCTTTGTACAATTCATAGAAATTGAAGGTCTATAAATAAAATTTCGATTAAAGTTTTGGCTCTATCTGAAATGAGGTGCGTAATCATATATTTTCTCCTTCTTTTCACAAGGTAAAAAGGGTCATTTTTTCCTTAGTATTTAATTTGTGTTGTTTTGCCTTAAAGAAAAATAATGCAGGAGGACTAACTTTTTACATTTTCTTTTCTGTGCCCGTGTTGTCTGTCCGTGTTCGTCCGAGTTCGTCCTTGTTTGGTACGTGTATGTACAGACAAAATTCGGACGAGCAAGGACAGACAGAACACGGACAGAAAAACTCGGACGAAGACGGACAGACAAAACACAGACCGAAAACGGACAGACAAAACACGGACGAAACGGACAGACAAAACACGGACGAAGACGGACATATACACGTATCAAACAAGGACGAACTCGGACGAACACGGACAGACAACACGGGCACAGAAAAGAAAATGTAAAAAGTTAGTCCTCCTGCATTATTTTTCTTTAAGGCAAAACAACACAAATTAAATACTAAGGAAAAAATGACCCTTTTTACCTTGTGAAAAGGAGAAAAAATATGATTACGCACCTCATTTCAGATAGGGCCAAAGTTTTTATAAAAAAAAATACATTTTAAAAACTAAGATACATTTGAGCAAAAAGAAAAATTAAAAATACATATATCAATATTTATGTAAATTACCTTTCGAGTAAAACAAGTTCAAAAGTTTTTGTGTCACAGTCAAACATATTACCATTATTAGAACAAATAATCTCCATAGATTCAATATTCATTGAAAGTAATGTAATTAAATGTTTTTCTTAAAGGCTTGATTATTTTTAAAATTTTATAGAAAAATAAACTGATAGTTTCTGCTGGCTCATCAACAATAATGTTAGAGAGACTCAGACTCGAAGATGCTGGTGAACCTGAATCGAAAAAAAATTCTTAAAAATAATTTTAAAAAACCTGCAAGATTAACCAAATATTTGTAGATATTTTTATTTGTTGCAGAAAAATCAATTTTGGATAATTTCTCAAGAATATTATTTATTTGAATAGATGAAATGCGCAATAAACCAGCATCAATAAGACCAGAAAATATCATTTTGTTAACATAATATGATGATTTACGAAAGTGAGACTAAAAATATTTATTAAATTAATCGGTTCTTTAACCTTTCGAATTCCAAAATTAACCTTTCCTTTCTTTCTATAAACAAGAGAGGACTTCCTTGTGATTGAGAAGGAACTATTAATTTTGAGTACAGAATTAAAGAAATGGGGTGGGGCTAATCAAATATGATTGCAAAGACCTAGGACTGGACCAAGAAGGTTATTATAAAAAAATTTATCCCCAGCAAATATGGGATAAACTTTGAAATTGCATTCGACCAGAAAGGAAAAGAAAAATAAAAACAGCCCACCACAATATATTCAGGTATTACGTCTTTGTAAAATTTAATAAGACAATCATTGTCACAAGTTGAAAGATCAAGATGCTTCATTTTAGAAAAATTAGAAAGAACCGCTCTCATATTTCTTGTACTGTGATACTAAAATTTTAAATAAAAATATTATTAAAAAAAATTAAACCATAAAAAGAGCATAAGGATTGAAAAATTTACTTCGCAGATCAATAACCACATAACGATTTGGATTTTTAAAAAGTAATTTTTCAGAAATAATATAAAGAACATCATCGGATAAACGTGGTACTTGAGCCATCTGCAAAAAATTTTTTAAAGAAATGGACACAAATTAATTAATAAAATTATAAATGGATTAAAATATAAATAAAGCAAATCACCCGAACCCTCCCCAGAAAATAGCAAAGTTTTCGATTTTTCCACTACTTGCCACTAAAAATGAACAATTTGAAGTGGCTGACATTTTACTAAATTTAAGCGATGTAGCATTTTGTCCATATGACATTTTGTAAAGTACTATTTTATCACGGTATCATTGAGTCCCGCCGTTTGAGTCCCGGAGTCATATTTTGGGCCATAACTTTTCCAATTCTCAATCGATTTAGGTAATTAATATGTATATCAAACGAAAGCTCTTGATGTAAGGATTATCTTATCTAGCAGGATTACTCTGATCAGATCAACAAACAAAAAGTTACAGCCTAATATAGATCAAAAATCCGCGCACTTATCTAGATGTAACTTTTGTAGGATGATATGATCAAATCAATCTAGTTGGCGAAAATAGTCCTCGCATCTAGGGCTTTCGAATAGTAATAGAATTATTCTAATTGGTCGAAAATCCGAAAAGTTATGGCCCAAAATTGGCTAAGGAACTCAACCGGCGGGACTCAATGATCCCCTACCCGTTTTATCCGGAAAGGGTCGATTCAGAGATACCTAAACTATTCTACAATCAAAATAATCAGATATCGCGTTTTAGCTTTTTGTGAAATTGATTAATTGAATAGGATTAATTATGAAATTGTATTCTTCTTTCGAATAGCTAGAATCTGTCGAAAATCAAAAAAAAGTTATGGGTTTGCTCTGAATCAATGGCCCCGAATCGGCCTTTTTTCATTTCCTTTCAAAAAGCAGACAGCGGAAATTCACCTGGCGTGACCGTGCCCGCTCAAAACATCAAACTCTTAAAATATCTAGACGAGTAAAAAAGCTCAAAATATCTAGACGGTTAAAGAATCTCAAAATATCTAGACGGCTATAAAATCTAAAAATATATTTTCTTAAAACGTCAAACTCTTAAAATATATTTACGGGTAAAATATCTCAAAATATCAAAATATATTTTTTCAATTAAAAGGGACAGTTGAGTCCGCAGAAAAAAGTTTTCGCCGCTGCGGAGGAAGCCGGGCATGTCGAGCGGAACGACGGCCGCCGCTTCGCTACGGTCGCCGCGAGCGAAGCGAGCACGACCGCAGCGAAGCACGGCCATCGTGTAGCGAAGACCATGCCCGGCCTACCCTCCGTAGCAGCACAAAAACAGTTTTTCCAGCGAAGATTCTGTTGGTCATAACTTTGTTCAGAAGCGTCCAATCGAGCTGATTTTGGTTTCACTTGATTCAGCTCGTCGAACTCATGCAAAATTGGTCCTGAAGTACTACATCTTAAAATATATTCACCCCTGATACAAGGAAGAAATATGGGACTCAACTGTCCCTTTTAATTAAAAAATATATTTTGATATTTTGAGATATTTTACCCGTAAATATATTTTAAGAGTTTGATGTTTTGAGAGAATATGTTTTGAGATTTTTTACTCGTCTAGATATTTTGAGAGTTTGATGTTTTAAGAATTTATGTTTTGTATGGGAGCCGGCGTGACGGTTAATGATACTTTTTATTTAAAGATTGGTTAACTCACGGCGGGCCAAACGGGACATTGGGGGTTGAAAAATAGTGTGTTATTTTATGAGAGACATTATACATTATTTTTTGACTTCATTTGCGGTTGTTTCAGTGCCAATAATTAATACCGTTTGAGTGCTGATTTCATCACAGAGTTTGAGTGTCAATGAGGAGAACTCTCTCTCATTAGTTAAATCCTTATATCTTTTCATCCTCCCACCCTATTTTTTTCAAATTTTGCATTTATGTAGGCCAAATATAGATAACAACTCATGCAAATTTTGAGAAGCTAATACGGTTTTTGGGCGAAGTTATGGATTTTTGAAAATTGGTAAAAGTTGTACGTTTTTGGTCATAACTTAGCCCAAAATGCTTCAATCACGTTAATTTTTCTATAATTCTACTCAATTTGATGAGCTCCTTCAAATAAACTTGAAAACGAAGGATTTTCGAAGGATGACCCTGGAATTTTTTCAGATCGACCCTGAAAAAATTTTTTTGAGACAGTGAATTTTTCTGATTTTTTTCATATACGTTAATTAAAGTCTTATCTATAATATTCAAGGTTATTTAGTTGAAGTCAAGGCCGTTAGCCGAGATATGGCCTTTCAAAGTAGAGGTCGGCGCGGGACGGGATCCCGCGCGGGATTTTGCGGGGTCCCGCTCCCGCAATCCCGCACTTTTTTCGATTTGCGGGATTTTGCGGGATGCGGGATTTTGCGGGATTTTTCCCGCGGGATCCCGTCCCGCAAAGATTTTTTTAAAAAATCCCGCAAATTTTTCCCGCAAAATTTTTTGACTTTTGCGGGATTTTTGGAAAATGGAGAATTTTTGCTCCTAACCTTCTAAACTCAAAAAATTTTTGCCTGCGGCGCTAGAAAAACAAGAATTTTGGTCGTTGGCCTTCCTAAAATCTCGAAATTTTTGCCTGCGGCGCAGAAAAAGGAGGGAATATGAATACTTGGCCTTCCAAAATTTTCGCCTGCCGCCCATGGAATCATCTTTATTACATCGAAACAAAATTGTCCACATTGTTAGATCAAGATGATTGATCGATCACATTTGTTTCAGCTCAAGCTATTCTAATTCGTATACTCGAATTTTCCGACGAATATGTATAAGTTTGCCCTTTATGTTTTTTTTTGATAATTAGGGACCTGGATAAGTGCTTATCGTTTGTACCAACATGTACTCGTAATTTGGTACGAAGTATGATACAGTTAAGAACCCGTTAAGAACTCGTTAATGATTAGGAAATTGATTTTTTTCAATAGATATTGATAATTTCAACGATTTTTGGAAAATCCCGCAATCCCGCGCGGGATCCCGCAAATTTAAATTGCGGGATTTTGCGGGATGCGGGATTTTGCGGGATTTTTCCCGCGGGATCCCGTCCCGCAAAGATTTTTAAAAAAAATCCCGCATGCGGGTTCCCGCAAACGCGATTTTGCCGACCTCTATTTCAAAGTCGATCAACTCGGATTTTGAAAAAAAATAGTGTGGAAAAATAAGAGAGCGGGAAAATGAAAAAGAGTAAAAAGCGAGAGAGTGTGTTGAGCGATTCTCATATAAATTTTCGTGCCCGCTCAACTCATCTAATCCTTAACTCATCCACACGCCCAAAAACGCTCAACTCATCTAAACGGCTAAAATTCCTTAACTCATCCACACGGCCAAAAACGCTCAACTCATCCAATCCTCAACTCATCTAATGCTTAACTCATCCACACGCCCAAAAACGCTCAACTCATCCAATCCTTAACTCATCTAATGCTTAACTCATCTACACGGCCAAAAACGCTCAACTCATCCAATCCTTTGGAACGAGACTATTGAGTACCAGTCGTTTGAGTCTCTGGCCGTCTGAGTCTCCGGCCGTTTGAGTCTCTGGTAAGTAGGGTGACCAGTTGAGTCCATGGCCAGTTGAGTCCATGACCAGTTGAGTCCATGGCTAGTTGAGTCCATGGCCAGTTGAGTCCATGACCAGTTGAGTCCATGGCTAGTTGAGTCCATGACCAGTTGAGTCCATGACCAGTTGAGTCCATGGCCAGTTGAGTCCATGGCCAGTTGAGTCTCGGCCGTTTGAGTGGTTGATTACCGCCGGTTGAGTCTTGGGCCGGTTGAGACTCAACTGACCAGGGACTCAACCGGCTAGGGACTCAACCGGCCGATATTTCAAGGATTGGATGAGTTGAGCGTTTTTGGGCGTGTGGATGAGTTAAGCATTAGATGAGTTGAGGATTGGATGAGTTGAGCGTTTTTGACCGTGTGGATGAGTTAAGTGTTAGATGAGTTAAGGATTGGATGAGTTGTAGGGTAGCCATAAATTTTTCCTTGTTGCAAGACAGTTAGAGTCCCGTTTAGCCCACCGTGTTAACTATACTAACATTAAAACTGCCAACTCACTGCTTTTTATTTTTTACTCTAATTTTTTTAATTAAATAATTTTTAAAAATTAAAATCTTTTTCTCGTTAGAGATTAACTGATTATTGAAATTTAAAATGATCGCGGCCTTGAACATTAATAACTAACCTAGAATATTTTTTATTAATATTTTTTAATTTAGATAATAATTTGTTTAAAATTATTTTAAATCTTTAATTTCAAAAAATGACTAACATAACTGCTGATGGCAATTCACCCACTCCAAATGATATTGAGGCTATTTTTAAACGACTTAGGATTCAACCAGCAAATAAGGTTATTTTACTTTATTTAACATTTCTGTTATTTTATTAACCAAGTACAGTCGAAATTTAAAATGATATGACGAACTCGAGGAGGTCGGAGAGAAATTTAGTTTGAGAGAGATTGTTGTATCGAGGGTCGTTTTTCTCTAAATCAAATTAATAAATTAAATGATTTTTATTGAATTTCTGTGGAAATTGTCCTCGCTAAATAATTAGAATAATCTTGACAATCACACATTTGAATATGATTGGTTTTTTGATATATAATTCTTAAACGATTTAAGAAATCCTTTTTGAGTTCCCTTCTAATTGGGTTTTACAGAGAATATATTTTTAAGGTTTGTTTCGATTGTGGTGCACGTAATCCAACATGGTCATCTGTTTCCTATGGCGTCTTCATCTGTATTGATTGTTCATCCGTGCATCGAAATTTAGGCGTACATCTTTCTTTTGTTCGTTCGACTAATTTGGATACAAATTGGTTTATTTTGTATTTTTAATTTTTTGTCAATTTTGATTTTAGGTCTTGGGTACAACTTAGAGCAATGCAAGTTGGTGGAAACGCTAATGCTGTATTTTTTAAATAATTAACTGAAGATTTGTTTAATTTTTTTTATTTTAGATTCAATTCTTCAAGCAACATGGCTGTGAATCGAGTGATGCCCAAATAAAATATAATAGCCGTGCTGCTTCTCTCTATAA